TTTTTTTTTTTTTTTTTTTTTTTTTAAAAAAAAAATCGTTATTTTATTCTTCTTCTCTTGATACTACGACCTGTCGCTTGCGTCATTCGACTCTTTTCTTCTCTTTTCTTTCCTTATTTTCTTTTCTCTCTTCTTTTTAAAACCTTTTTTTTTTCTCCTTCCCTCCAAAAAGGTACCTCTTAATTCTTTTTTATATTAGTATTTTTTTTTTCTGTTTTTGGGGGTTTGGGGGTTTTTGTTTTGACTGCTACGGTGTACGACCTTCTCTCCCTCTCTCAATTGAAGGTCAATTGCCCTTTTTTTTCTTTTTCTTTTTTAAACAAACATGGTCAACGGCACGGCAGCTGTGTTGGAACCCACATTTACGGGATATGTCGCAACCACCCATGATGCGCTGATCCTTTTCGAAGCCTGTCTCACTGGTGTGCTGCATCATGTCCCTCGGCGTCCACATGACCGGGAGCGCAGCCATCTCGTCCGCAGCGGCAGCGTGTTTATCTATGAGGAGGACTCATCGGGCATCAAGCGATGGACCGACGGTGTCACTTGGAGTCCCAGCCGGATCCTCGGGAATTTTCTAGTCTATCGTGAGCTGGAGAAACCCTTCCCCCCGGGTGAGAAGAAACGTGCCATGAAGAAGGCCAACCGTCGTCCTTTACCCCCCTCACGACCCGGCGAGCCCTATCCGCGACAGGACCCTTACTCGCCCACCGCCGCAACCACCCCGGGGGGCAGCAGCACCGGTGTGGGGATGAGCGCTGCCGCCGCCGCCGGCGCTGGTGCTGGTCCTGGTGCTGATCGACCTCCTCCGTCCGAAGTGGAGCGCGCCTTGGTGGGTTCGCTCGTCGACTCGTACGGCTTCAAGGATTCCGGTCTGGTCAAGAAGACCATGAGCGTGACCGTCTCCGGCGTCACCCACCATCTCGTCTCCTACTACAGTGTCGAGGACGTCATCCGCGGCGCCCTCAGCCCCCCTTCTCTGAACGACTCCCTTCGTTACATCCGCCCTCGTCCCGAGCTCACGCAGAAGCAGAGCTTCCGCGCTCCGATTGACGATCTTGAGACCACCACCCTCGACGGGACCACCGCCGCCGCCCTCACTGGAGTCACCCACGGTGGCCCGGACGCTGCCTCCGCCCACACCCTCTACAGCAGCTACCGGCAGCCCATGATGGGCGGCGCTAGCGCCGCCGCCGCCGCCGCCGCCGCCATGGGATACCCCGTGCCCACCGCGTCGCCGGATTTCTACCTGTCCGCCGCGGGAGCCTACGCCTCCCATCCACTCGCCGTCGGGCCCAACCCATACCTCTCGGCCGGAGCCACCCCGAAAGCGGACGAGTACGGCGGCTACCGGCCGAGCGCGTACGGCAGCAGCTTCGACTCGCTGCCCACCACCGCGCTCTCCGCCTCGATGACCAGCGGCAGCATGGCCGGCTCCTTCTCGGAGCGTCATCGCTCCCACTCGGACCACAGCCAGTCCGCCTACCGCAACTCGTCCATCTCCTCGCGCAGCGTCGCCACGGACGTCACCTCGCCGATAGATCCTTCGCCGCCGGCCCACTACTCGCGCGGCAGCTTCAGTATGCCCGGTCCGCTGGACACCACGACGCCGGTGACCGCGACGGCCCCCTCAGCGTCTTCTTCTGGCCTCGATTCCCGCCGCGATTCGCACCCCATCCCCGCCGCCTACTACACAGGACCGGAGCGGTCAGCATACTACGTCGGCCCTGCAGGGGCGTCCAACTATCCCGGTGCGCAGCCGTTGACGACGTGGACCACGACGGCGGCGCAGCCTCAAATTTGAGTCTTTGCTCTTTTTTTTTTTTTTTTTTTTTTTTTTTTTTACGGCCGCAAGGTGTTGGGATTGTTTACGTCCGTTATGCTTTTCTGTTCGTTCAGTTACGTGTTATGACATTGGTTACCTAAGGTGGGCGGTTATCTGCTTTGCTCGACATGGCCTGTAGCATAAGCCAATATATTTCTATTCATTCTTGAAACTTATCATTATGTAGTACAATGTCGTACCCAGTAATACCCAGTCCCAGTACCCACAATGGGTACAGAGTAACTCCGTAACTCCGTACTAAGCTACTAGCCTCAGGGATTCCGGTCTGTGCAGTTGAATGGAAACCCAGTCGGTTGAGGTAAGACGAGGCGAGGCGAGGTGGAATAGAGGGTCTCGACAAGTCCATCAGACCCTGACCCTACGGAGAGGTATTATCCATGGTCCACAGGCGGGGCGGACCCGCTGCTGTAGTAGATAACTCCTAGGTTAGTTACGGAGTAACTAAGGTAACTAGGTACTAGGTGGTTAGTCAAGGTAATTATTGCCTGAAGGATCAGAGTATGGTTACCTGGCATAGTACTGTACCTAGTTAGTAGTTACCTAGCTAGGTACAGAGTAACTAACTGTTGACTATGTACCTATTACTTGTAGTTATCCTACCTATCTACCTATTACTGAACTATACGGAGTACTAATTATGTAGACCGAGTCACCGAGGTACAGAGACAATATAAAATACTACATAGTACCTAGGTAACTACCTTGACCTTTACCAGTTGGCCATGTCGGTGGCATGTCAGCGGCATGGCTGACTAACCATCACGTGACGGGAAGACGTTTTTCCGTCCTTCTTTGGTGGTCACGAGCCAGCAATACAGACCGATTAGAGTGTACGGAGTACGGTATCTTCAGTAATGCAGGTCGGAATGGCTGCTCGACCGCTGGCTAGGCTGTGCCAACCATGTTTTCGCCCCAGCAGTATGCGGACGTACCGGGGGATATCGTTGTCGCTGGTGAAGCGATATCCGGTCAGGACCTCCCTTATAAAGTACAAATGTGATGCTTTCAGTCAACGGAGATGGATTTCCCAGAAGCAAGAAGAGAAGCAAGAAGAGTACGCAATCTATCCCAATTACACTCAAAACCGGCATGCTAAATATTCAGGAGGCTGAAACCACGCCCCCGGATGCACGAGAACATCTACACGGTGCCCAACATCCTCACCTTGACGCGGCTGCTGGCAGCCCCGGCGGTGGGCTACCTGCTCGTGCACGACTGCCACGCCGCGGCGTTCTCGCTCTTCGCCTACGCGGGCTTAACCGACCTGGTCGACGGCTACATCGCCCGCCGCTTCCACCTGCAGACCGTCGTGGGCACCATCATCGACCCCATGGCCGATAAGCTGCTCATGACCGTCAGCGTCGTCTGCATGGCCGTCAACGGCTCCATCCCCGTCTGGCTGGCCGTCATCATTCTCGGTCGCGACCTCGCCCTCTCCTTCTCAGCCATCTATTATCGTTGGATCTCCCTCCCGCCTCCAAAAACCATGGCCCGCTATTGGGATTTCTCCCTCCCCTCCGCCGAGGTGAAACCAACAGCCATCTCAAAGGTAAACACTGCTCTCCAGCTTGTCCTTGTCGGCTCCGCCATGGCCATGCCCTTGATCCCAGAGGCTATCTTGGCCGCTTGGGGGCTCCAGACCGGAATGGTTGCCTTTCAGTGAGTTCCCTTTCTTCTTCTTCTTCTTCTTCTTCTTCTTCTTCTTCTTCTTTTCTTTTGGCCTGGAGTATCCTGTCCACCCGCCGATATAAATCCTTTTCCTTCTTGCTCCTTCACGTACGACCACAGGGTGTGGAAAACAGGGCTTCCCGTCCGCTCAGCCGTACTTAAGCCACACGCCGGTCAGTTAGTAGTTGGGTGGGTGACCACCAGCGAATCCTGACTGTTGTACGTTTTTATATTTTTAATACTTGGCCGTGGATTGCGTTCATATTATGTTCATATTCTGTTTATCTTTATGATGTTGTTTATATGTTGTTTGATGTATGCTAATGATAGATACCTCGTCGGCGCGACAACCATCTGGTCGGGCCTCAGTTACGTCTTCGCCAAGGACGCAGTCAAGATCCTCACCAAAGAAGAGGTTCAGAAGCGGTTGAGTGGAAGGAAATAAAGCATAGCATAGCGATAGTCGAGATGATTTACTCACTGTACCATAGCATAGGAATTCATATGTATAGCAGATGATCACGTATATACTAGTTATAACAATAATAAACAGTATGTTGTCTATATTACAATGGCTATGATGCTATCTATTAAACATCAGGAACAGGCTTGGCTGATTTAGAACTCGAAGAACCAGTTTTTTGCCGGATGTGATAGAGGAGGCGGAGCGCCCCAGCAGGTGTAACCCCCTCAATCCGCCGCACCATGCCCAAGCTGACGGGCCGCACGCGCTCGAACGCATGGCGCTCCTCGGTGCTGATCCCCTGGATGAGCTTGTAGTCCAGATCCGGCGGGATGAGAAGGTTCTCCTCCGCGAGGAAGCGGCGCGCCATGGTCTCCTGTCTTTTCACGATAGGCGCGTACCGGCCCTCGATGGAGACGCGGGTGCGGATCCCCGGCGCAAATGAGTTGGGCGTGTACACTCTCCCCGGGGCTGCGCCGGAGACCTCGATGTGCGGGATGAGCATGTCGATGTCCACCCCGAGCACGTTGAGGAGGTCGAGCGCAGAGCGCACCGAGGTGTCCATTCGCACGCCGAACCCGCGCCGCGCCCATGTCTGGGCAGAGAGCCGCGTGTTGGCTAGAAGGCTGTGCAGCTCCGTGAGTTGCGCCTTGGTCTCGCAGAAGTGGCGCCAGCGCTTCTCGGACACGGCTCCCGCCGCGTGCGCCATGGGCGTCAGCCGCGAGTCGGCGTTGTCGGCCCGCGTCGTGATTCGGTACTCGCTGCGCGTGGTGAACATCCGGTACGGCTCAGAGACCCCCTTGGTAATGAGGTCGTCGATCATCACCCCAATGAAGCCGTCCGACCGTTTCAGCGTCAGAGGCTGCCGGCCACGAGACGCCAGGCCGGCGTTCATTCCCGCGATGATCCCCTGACCCGCGGCCTCTTCGTACCCTGTCGTGCCGTTGATCTGCCCAGCAAGGTACAGTCCGCTGATGAGTTTCGTCTCCAGCGTCGGCTGCAGATTCCGGGGGTCAATAAAGTCATATTCCACCCCGTAGCCGGGCTGCAACATCCGCACATTCTCCAGACCCCGCATGGTCCGTAGCATGGCATATTGAACATCCGCAGGCACAGTCATGGAGATTCCGTTCGGGTAGATCACTTCGTTGGGTGCAAATCCTTCTGGTTCCAGCCAGATCTGGTGCTGCTTTTTCTCCGGGAAGCGAATGACTTTCGACTCCAAGGAAGGGCAATACCGAGGACCTTTGACGGTCTCGCGGATATGGATAGACTTGTCCAGGTTGGCACGGATGATATCATGAGATGCCTCATTGGTATGCGTCTGCCAGCAGGTCAGTTGGCCTTCGTCCCCGACCTGCACAGTATCGTTCATGAACGAAAATGGTGACGGCGGAGAGTCGCCCCGTTGGACTTCAAGGACCGAAAAATCGATCGTCTTCATGTCTAGCCGCGGCGGTGTCCCCGTCTTCAGGCGACCGAGCTGGAAACCAGCCTCACGAAGCGACTTGCTTAGCCCAAAGGTGGCCGCTTCTCCCATCCGACCCGACGGGTAAGCCTCCAGACCGATATGAATCTCTCCGCCAAGGAACGTGCCGGTGGTGATCACCACCCGCCCGGTAGATAGTATCTCGCCTGACTCCAGCCGTACCCCGACAATCTTGCCTTGCGACCCAGGGCTATCTACCGACTCTTCCTTAGACACAACAATATCAGCGACCTTGCCCTCGAGGATAGTGAGTCCTTCTGTTGAAGAAAGCTCCTCTTGCATGTATTTCTTGTAAAGATCTCGATCAATCTGTGCGCGAGGGCCCCAAACCGCGGGGCCCTTGGACTGGTTTAACGTGCGAAACATGATGCCTGCCTTGTCGATAATGCGCCCCGCCACTCCATCCATTGCATCGACTTCACGAATCATCGTGCCCTTTCCGATGCCACCAAAGCTAGGGTTGCACGAGCATACACCGATATTCGACCGTGAAGGCGTGACTAAAACCGTTCGAGCCCCTGTTCGAGCGGCGGCTGCACACGCTTCCGAGCCGGCATGTCCTCCTCCGATGACAACGACATCGTATGGCCTAGAAATATATTTAGCCAACCGCACACCCGGTCAAGGGATCTCCCTGATCAAACAGTGGCAGAATGATATTAACATACTGTGACCCTTCGGAGGCAGTTGCCAGGCCCCGGGACGTTCCTACCACCCTGGAACGAACGCCCCTGATTGAGCGGAGGAGATTGATAGATCTCGTGTAAGAAATCATGGTGTGTTATTTGGAGATATGTCTCTATTGCCTCCCAGACATCGTCGCCTCAATCCCCTTCCCTTCTGCTGGACCAAAAAGCAACAACGGAAAAAAAGCGATAACATTGAACAATCTTCTGTCACGTGAATCCCAAGCATTAACCCCGTTATCCCCGAAGGCGGTGAGCAGTCCCTGCTGATGTAAGGCTTCCTGTGACTCGCATCATCATTGACCAACCGCGGGGCGCCTTTTTCTCACCCCGCGGCGGGCATTTTGCTGTTGGGCGGAAGTTACTCTGAGAGATTCATCAGTATTAATTCCCCTGATCCTAAGGTAAACCCCTCATGCTTTACGGTCTTGCTTGGGTTCTCTGAATCGAAGTTTTTTTTTTTTTTTCTTTTGGTTTCTGTATCCTAATTTGCTGATCTCTCATTCGCTAGACAACCATCAAGTATCGTCACCATCAATAATATTCATCCAGAATGAAGGCCTACTGGTACGACAACCACCCGGTACGTTCAAGGAGGGCATCAAATGCCTCACCTCCCTTTCCTCGAACTATATCTCTGTCTTTAGCTCCTGTTGGATATAATCGCTGATCAATCTTGATGAATAGGGCGACCAGCGCGAGGCCCATGATTCCGGCCGAACCGTGTCGGAAGAGTACCTGAAGAACCTGGGTGTCATTTACCAGCACTGCCCGACTGTCGAGTCTGTCGATGTCCTGGCCAAGGAGCGCGGCTACAAGAACCGCGATGAGATCGTCGTCTCTCCCCAGGCCATGGGCGCCGTATACGAAGACAAAGTGAAGATGTTCTTCCACGAGCATCTCCATGAAGACGAGGAGATTCGCTATATTCTCGACGGAGAAGGCTACTTTGATGTTCGCGGTCAGGAAGACGAATGGGTTCGCATTAAATTGGGGAAGGATGATCTCATCATCCTTCCTGCGGGAATCTATCATCGATTCTCCACCGATGAAAACAATGTATGTCCTTCCCTTCTAGCTGCATCCCGGAGGCCAATCTCTGATTTACTAATTCTTTTTTCTCCCCGTATAGTATGTCAAAGCAATGCGTCTTTTCCAGGAAGACCCCAAGTGGACTCCTCTTAACCGCGGCCCTGAGGTTGATTCCAACTCACACAGACAGACTTACTTGGCTGCTGTCTCTGTCAACTGATGGCAACTGTATCTTTCCCCCCCCCCTTTTTAATGATGGAAGTGCTCAGCCAAGACGCTCACTTTTGATATTTATGAATTAATCACCAGCTAGAGAACTGTATATAGCCCAATCAAACATATACCACGTCCCTTTTCAAGTTATTTTTTCTCTCTTCTTATCTATACGCTGATAGTATGCAAAACAAAGAACCTATATCCTTTTATAATAAAGAACGATATCTCGCACCTAACTGGCAGGTACACCATCAAGGGAGCCGGGTATATGAAACTGGCCTCTAACGGCCTCTGAACTTTCTTCTCGGCGCAAGGCATGGTTCTGCAACCCATCCAACCCCGGACGCGCGCCCATGTTAACACGGAACCGCAGCCCTTCTGATGCTAGACCGGCATCATCGGCATATCGAAGCGGGCCGTCACCACCCATGTCGGCGGATGACACCGGAGCAGCCCGAGGACCCGTGGATGCAGATGACTCGGGTTCTTCACCGGTCCTCACGCCTGTCCGGCCCATGCGGGGCCAGAGGTCCGGCAACCCGACGACCTGGACGCGCGGCTCCACGACTCTCTCTTCAAACCAGGCATGCACGCGAGCTTCTACCAGTTGAGCCACCTTGGGTATATCTTGAAGTCGATTGCGCGAGCCGATGAGAGAGCGCACGGAGAGATCAAGCCGGTAATCCGGGAGGAAAGAGAACGCGACATTGCTCTTGGGACTGGTCTTCGGCGGCGGCGCGCTGCTATCTTCTTGTGCGCTTTTTGGCCGGCCACGCGACTCGGCAGAGTCATCCGCTGTGTGTGCTCTTATATTTGTTCCTGTTCCGGCAGTAGGCGGAGAAGGAGAAGGGGACGGGGTATGGAGAGGAGGAGTGGAAGCGGGAACTAGAGAGATACAAAGCGTCCCCGAGAATCGAACAACGGAGATGGACAGGGCGACTGGGAGAATCGCCGAGTATGGCTTGGGATAGTTCAAGATCAGAGACGTTTCGATGGCGATTGAGAGATTATCGTCGCTGAGATCAACGTCCATGAGTGCCTGTAACCTCCCGCCATCCGGATTGGTTGGATCATCCACGGCGATAATCCGGCAGTTGCTGAAGATTGGGAACTCCTCGCCGAGCGAGATATCTGTCACGGTGATTTTGTCGATGAACGATGGCTTCTTTTCGGGATTATTCATCGCAGCAGTCAAGGAGTCCAGGATCGATGACGTAGGGGAGTCTTTCAGCGAATACGCAGTTTGTCGATATTGCGCAATCGTCTGTGCAATCAGCACGTTGAACCAATCCAGAGACTCTGGCTGGTGTGACGAATGGTGCATGCGATGCCGGCCATGTTTTGCAGTAGGATTCGTAGGGATCGCGCTGTAGTATGTCTTCCGAAGGATAGACCGCGTATTGGTGGAGGACGCCGGCACTGGACGGAGCACGTTCGATGTTGAAGGCTTCTCGCGCAAAGTTCTAACGCTGCCATCATTCGAGGTAATATTGATTGAATTGGACCGTCGATGGGCGGCGGTGCGTTGGGAGAGGCCTCGCGACGGCGGGGCGGGTGCTTCACCGAATATGAAGAACTTGATGAACGCACCGATCAGCAGCACAACCGACAACTGGCCGAGAAGGAAGCCCTGTGTAAACGTGAGACTTCACAGTCCCCATTGAGTCAGTAAAGAACGATGCATATAGATCTGATCAATGTTCCCCGGGGCACGTACGATGACTGAGCCGAAGCTGGCCAGGATTCATCTGCTCCAGAAGTTAGCGAGGGAGGCTTGGAAGCAAAATCAGACAGAACATGGCAATCGCACTTTGCTGCATGGTCATCCTCAGCAGCTGGATTTATCTGCTTTCTTGTTCCATAACCGTATCGCCCTCGTGGAGGAGAGAGATGCTTTTCGGGGTAGGATCTTCGGCCACCCGAGGCATCAAGAAGCACCACCTATCTTATCGTCGGCGGTGAGAACAGGAGCATCACTCACGCATATTTGATGGTTGCCTTGTGTTGTTCAACGCCACAGCGAAAAGGACACGGTGGGATTTTCTCTATATTATTTATTTGCTTGTTTGCAGGGGCAAAGACCTGGACTTTTGCTGACAGTTATACAGATGTCGTGAAAGAGCTAAGCTTCTGATCGAACCCTCTTCCAAGTCCCAGATGAAGCTTCGCACCATGCGTCTCTTGATACAGCCCGCACTCGCACTTTTTCTATGCCTAACCGGCCCAGTATTTGCTCTGGGCGGAGCCTCTGGCAAAGCTCCCGGGAAAAATGCCATTCTTCTCTCTAAGGTCAACACCCTGACTCTCCGGGATGGCCACATGACGACCTCTCGCCGCGTGTCCCCGATCCCACAGCTCCATTGCACAGGTCCCTCCAAGCGCATCTGTGACCTCTACACTATCGAGACTATGCGCTGCACAAACGCAGGCTACGACTATGATGAAGAAGATGTGCAATGGACATGTACAGCGTCGTTGCCTCCGGAGTTCAAACTGGGCTCGACAGACGTCGTCTGCGAGGGCTACCGCAGTGCCGAAGACAAATGGGTGTTGAAGGGGAGCTGTGGCGTTGAATATCGCCTTTTACTCACGGACTTAGGAGAGCAGCGGCTCGGCAAGATACATAAGAGTGAATGGTCACTCCCCTCGAGTAACGGCTGGCGCAAGACATTCGGGGTCTTGGGAGATCTCTTATTCTTCGGATTTATGATCGCTGCCTTTGTGATGATCATAATACCTATGCTCCGTAATTGTCTGGGGCTACAGAGGAACAGAAGGGAAGGAAATCCTCGACGAGGTTGGGGGGGATTTTGGGGAGGAGGAGGAGGAGGAGGAGGTGGTGGTGGTAATTATCCTCCAGGGCCTCCACCCCCATACAACGGCTACTCAGACTGTGGATCTTCAACTCCCCGAGCATACGAGCAGGGTTGGAGACCAGGGTTCTGGACGGGAGCTTTGGGAGGTGCAATGGCTGGATATCAAATGGGGAGAAACCGAACCCAGGACTCGAGGCCCGCAAGGAGCTGGACAGCCTCTTCGTCCTCAAGGTCCAGTGAATCGAGTTCACGGGCTCAAAATTCGCCTTCGTTTTCTGCTTCTACAACTGGCACAGGATTCGGCTCAACTAGGCGCAGGTAATCATTTAGAGAGCAAGATCAGTTAGTCCTGCAATAGACAATTGATCATAATTGTGGTGTCATCATGATGATATATAATGAAAACACAAGAACGTAACACTTGCTGCTCTAGAACCATCCTCACTTAAACAGAAGCCACCATTAACAAAACGCCTGCCGTCGCTAAAAAAAAAAAGAGACCTCCACATACCCTACATTTAGCAAGAATTTGACATCGCGAATCAAACAGAAAATGGAAAGTCGTCAATAGATCCAAGGATCTCTTCTGTACCGCCGCTCATTGCCTTTGCCTTCTTGCTGCGAGACCTGCCCTTGATGTTGGCGTTGCCTTGATCCGCACCTATTGGAGCATTCGGATCTTGATTTGTTCCCTGTGGATTTCGTAGCAGCTCCTCCTGCACCTGCTTCTCCTTGGCATGCTGGTCTTCAATGCGTTTCTTCTCCTCGTCAAGTTCCTGTTGAATCACCTTTGGATCATCGTAGACAGTGTTTGTCATCTCCGAATAGGTAGCAATATCAATTGTCTCCCGCGGCCCAATAAGTGCATCTTTGATCCTTTCAGGATCACGGCGCTCTTCGTTGTTGAACTTCAACTTGATTTGACGTCTCGAACGTCCAGGAAACATCTTACTGATCATCATGAAGTCAGTACCGAACATGCGTAGTCCGCGATAGAACAGGTCCGTCATATCCTCATCCCAAGACTCGGTCTTAGACCTCTTCCCGTAGCTTGCCTGGTTGATTTTGCGGGTGAGAGAATTCTCCACAACATCCTCTAGCTCCCCTACTGCCCGAGCGGCGTCCGCGTGGCGGTCGACTTGCAGCGATGCTGTATCGAGTACAATCTCTCCGTTGACAATTCTCATCACCGGACCAGCCTGAGTCTGCAAGTTTTTCTCAACAGTGGAGTCCACTTCAGCCGACGGGGAAGCCGCATCGCCATTTTGTTTAATTCGGATAGAATCATCGGCCCGACCTTCGTCCAGAGATTTTTGCTTTCGTTCTTGTTCAGCCAAATCCATTTTGCGCAGTTCAGTTTCACGTTTTGATTTCTTGCCGGTGCGTAGGTCTTTGCACAGTTCGGACATTTTCACAACTGCCGGTGCGATTTGAACCTCCTCTGCACCATCAGGCGTAGGTTCACGCTTCTTGCGCGCTCGCTGTCGCCGTGGCTTCTCTGTTTCAGTCCCGGTCTCCGACACCTCCGCTGTCGACGCCTTTCTCCGCTTAGCCTTCACCTTCACCACCGATGATGCCTCCGTAGGACCTTCCTCGGAAGCTTCCGGGGTCTCGTTGGATTCAGAGGTCGACTGCGCGACAAGAGGAGTTATGGATGGCGTCGGTAAAAGCTGTGCCTCTTCAAACGTAGCTTTGGGTTTGCATGTCTTCAGACGCTTGGCGGGGCGAATGTCGGCTGAAACTTCACCGTCGCGCAGCGAATCGGAATCCGCTTGGCCACTCGGGATGTGGGAGTCTGCTGAAACCTCTACAATTCGTGATACAGTCTCATTGTTTGTGGTAGAGATGATGCGAGCTGGCTCCGGTGCTTGTGGTGGCTGCGGGGTACTTGGAGGGGAAGGTGCAATGACCGTAGCGGGCGCGGGTGCGGGCGCGGGCGCCTTCGTTGCAGGAGCAGACACAGAAGGTTTCCGTTTAGGAGCTGGTATAGGAACGGGAAGAGCAGTGGCCTGTACAGTCTCTAACTCCGGCACACGACTTGTCGGCTGAGAGACTGCGACGGCGGAGACATCTGCAGCGACAGCCTGAGAATCGGTAGACGTAACATTTGTACTCGAGACTGGCTGAGTAGTCGGGGCGGTTGTGGCCTGCTGTGCAATACTCGACCTTCTCGAGGCCGGTGCTGGTGGAGGGGGAGCCGGGGCAGCGCGGCGGACAGGCGCTTTGGGGGCAAACTTCTTGCCCGACTTATCTGTTCAGAGAATTTCTCCATCAGGATCAAAGACAAAACCGCAAGCGGGCGGGACTCCCAAGTACTCACTGATAGCGGAGCTAGAAAACGATCTCATGGCTGGCAGAGGTCGGAATAATGAGTCGTCCTGTCTGGAGCGAGCATGGCAGCTGGGCGGGCGTCGACTGGTGAGATAACTGAGACCTGGTTCGTAGTCTAGAAGCGGGCGTTCGTGGATCTCTCCGGGGGAAAGTGGGCATGGTCACGTGGGAGGCGCTAGCACGCTGCACGACGCTAACCCTCCAGTCGAAAATCCTCCTGGCTTCTTCACCTCTTGCTTATCTCGACCGCATTCGTTCGCTTTCACCCCTGTCTCCGTGCCAGCCGATCACATCGGGCCCTGGTGCGGTCTTTGTCTTTGGCTAGTTGCTGCTCTGTGGTGATTTCCACCATATCTGCCCTGCTAGCCACTGATGCCGGCCGCCAAAGCATCCCCCGTCGCATCTTCCGAGTCCATTCTCGTCAAGATGGAAGACCGGAAGAGAGCCGCAGTCTACGACCCTAATGATTCTGTTCCTCCCTCGAAGAAGCAGGCAACATCTGTGAATGGTAGCGCTAAGCCCCATCCAGATGCGGATATGCCATGGAAAGATGATCTGGAGGTGAGTCTCACTGATCCGTCTGCATTGCCGTCAACCCCACTGTGATTCTGAACTTTCAAGGCTGTGCTCAACGCGTTGTCGTCATAGTAAACCACTTACTGATGAACCCCTGTTATTAGCGATTCCAAAAAGACGCGATATGGCGGCAGATGCAGGAATACAAACGCGAGAAAGTTGCTCTAGAGACAAGGCTGAAGGAAACGGCTAAAGCAACAGCTTATTACAATGACCATCTTCGCATTATTGATGCGTGGTTCAATCAGGTTCGTATAGTTGTCTCGCGTTTTTTGACTGGTGTCCAGAACCCTGACGATTTTGTAGTTGATCGATGAAGTCAAACTGCTCATAGGCTCTCCGGTCGATGCAAGCAAAGGTTTGCAATTCTGCGCTCCACAATATGACAGCTTGAGCTTACAACGTACCACAGATCACCCTTCTTTTCGCAGCTCGCTACTTTTCGACGATGTGGAGGATTTTGATAAACATCTACAGTCAAGGACGGAGGGCATCCGCGAGATAGTGTCGCGCCTCTCGAAGATATCTTCGCAAAATCCCCCCGATATCTCGGATTTCCAAAGCCAGCTTGCGAAAAAGTTAGCAGAAGAGAAGGTCGCCATCACGGAACTCGAAAGGACACTTTTTGAAAAACAACAATTGGAAGAAAGCCTGGAAGCTGCCTCATTACGGTATATGGTAGCAGAAAAGAAGCTTGATCGAGCACGAAGTGTCACAGTCGCAAAACTGGAGAAGCAGTTTCTGATGGGTGCGCAGCGCCCTGGAGGGGACAGTGCAACAACCAATCGAGAAGAGAGCGTATCTGTCAACGGGACCGCAACTCCTAGCGGAGAAAGAAATGTCGAACTTGAGGAAGCGCACGGAAAACTGGCCACTATATCTGAAAAGCAGAAAGAGCAACTACAAAAGCTGGAGACAGAAAATGCGTCCTTGCTAAGTCAAATTACGGAATTGAATATCAAGGTAGCTTCCCTCTTCATTATCTTGGAATAGAGGGCATCTAACAGAGAACTAGCATTCGAGACTCACGGACGAAGATTATTCGCACACAGATTTATTCAAGCTGCTGAAGTCGCAATATGAAGATGTCGTCAAGCGGCTAAATCATCTTGAAGCTACCAATACGCAACTACGTGAGGAGGCAGAGAAGCTTCAATCGGAACGGACCGCATATCGGAACCAGATCGACGCAGAGACCCAAGCTGCTCTCGCAGAGAAGGAGGCCCAGTTGATGAGAGCGGAGACGGATTTGGCTCGGATAAGGAATACCCGCGACGAACTACTTGCGGACCAGCAGATGAGAAAAGCGGCTCAGGAGCAAGAAAAAACATCGGCAGCCAAGGTCCAGGAGCTGGCAGACGCTCGTCAGGTACAGATAGCCTCTTTAGAGTCGGAGGTTGAGCGGTTACGTATCCAAGTGGACTCCCTGAAAGCGACACCCCAGGGACTTGAAGATCTGTCTATCGAGGAGTTACAGACGAAATATCACAATTTGGAACGGCAGTACTCCATGCTGAATGATGAATTGGCGTCTATGCAGACGGCGCTCAAAAAGTACTCAGCATTAGCATCTCAAAAAGTGGCTGATTTCAGTGCTATGGAAGAAAAGGTTGCTCGCTCGATAGCCGAGAAATCCAAAGCGGATCAGAAGTACTTTGCGGCGATGAAGGCCAAAGAGTCACGGGAGGCCGAGGTTCGAACTCTGCGGATGCAGAATTCAAAAGCTTCGGATATCGTCTCTCAATTAAAGGAATCGGAATCGGCAACCCGTTCATTATTGGCAATTATGGAGAAACAAGCTACTGAAACCAAGGAAGCCATGAATACTCTAGCCGCCAAGAATCATTCCACACAGCAACAATTAACAGAAAGCAATATCGCCATAGACGGGCTGAAAGCTCAGGTTACTGAACTGAAGGCTCTCGCAGCGTCAAAAGATTCGGCTCTTGCAAACAGCTCTGCATCTTGTCGCCGAGCAGAGCTCGATCTTGAAGGCTTGAAGGTGACACTCGCTGACACAAAGAAGAGCCTTGATAACTGGAAGAACAAGAGTCTAGGGAACTCCTCATCAGAGTATGAGATGCTGAGGGTAAGTCATATACACTATTAATATCTAGAATTAGACAACTAATCTTGTCAATAGACCCTTGCGATATGTACCGTCTGCCGCAGGAACTTCAAAAACACTGCGATTAAGACATGTGGCCATGTTTTCTGCAAAGAGTGTGTGGAAGAACGTCTTACGTCTCGGTCACGGAAATGCCCCAACTGCAACAAATCCTTCGGAAATAACGACCACATGCATATTACTCTGTGATTTTCTTTGAAGTCTCCAACCTTGGTCTATTTTTTTCCCCGCAGGCCATTTCGTTTCTTGTATAACATTTTTTTTTTCTATTCTCTTTTATCTTCTTGTCTTGCAACCTCCCTCTTCTTCTTCTTCTCTCCTCGTTGCGACAAATTTCCTCTTCACTTCTTGCAATGTTACATGGTGCGGTGTTTTCGACGGGGGCTAGTTTAGCACGGCATGATCCAAAGGTGGCAGGCGTTTCGATTGTTTGTGTTACCAGGGCAAATGGTCGATTTGCATACTGGCCAGAGCCACGGTGGTTGTTTGGGTTTCGGCGCGCGCGTTTCTTTCTCTTGATTTCTGTTTGGGATACCCACTTCAGTGTTCAAATGGCACTTGGGTGGGAAAACAGCGCAGATCTTTACCTGCTGGGCGATGTAGGATTAGGAATGTCAGATCTGAAAGCAAGTGTATGGACGAATTGCAATAATACATGGCACCATGCCGTTCAGTGATGATATTTGAGAAAATCTCCGAGAGTCACGAGTTGAATATCCTGCTATAAAGAAGCTCGTGCCTTCCCACCCAGAGATCCAAAGCCGGCACCAGTTGACCAGCATCTGCTGTATCTGTCTCCCATTCATGCTCTATTCGTTTCGTGATCATATCTTGCAAAGTCTTACTTGCGAGTACACTTTGCGCCTGATAAGGACCCATCACCGACGCGCGCACAGCTGCGCTAAGAACAGCCTTTGCGTGGTTCAGCATAAAGATATATGTTGCTTGTTGAAGCTCTACGCCCATGGCTAGGCATACAACTCCCCATATTGGAGCAAAATGCCCCTTTGGTCCCAGGTCATCGGGCCCGCCAACACTGCTCTTCAAATCGTCCGAAAAGCGCCCGATAACATCGATTGCTCGACGACTACTTTCAGGGGCCCAGTCCGGTTGATTCTTATATGTTTCACGGAATGCCCTTTCCCAGACACCTAGCAGGGCCCTTCCCTGGGCAACACTCGCTCTTTGTGCAACCACACACGGTGTCGACGCATCCAGATCATTGTCAAGCGTTACTAGTGATTCCGGATCCCGGTAGGCAGCTAAAAGGTACGGTATAGATGTGCTCGCGATTGATGCAATGGAAAGCTCGAGAAAGCGTTGGAACGAAGCTATCACGGTCGTCGAACGTGGCAGAGGTTTGTTGTGAGCGAGATACGATTCAAGCCCACTGGAGTAGGCAAATGAGCCGAGAGGAAGCGCAGAGTCTGATAGAAGAAGCAACGCATGCATTGAATCCACTTCGGAGTGTGTGATACCTGAACAGTTCTCTGTCAATCATGTGTCGTAGATCGGATCGACCGTGGGGTTGGTTGCTATACCGATAGATAAGCCTGAACGAGACGCATTGCTATTCTTCCCCGCCGATGCGGCGTTTAGCCGGCTCTTTGCATTCTGTAACCGGGTTTCAAGATCGGAGATCTCTTTCTCCAGAGACTGGAGATCAGAATCTGGAATCATTGGTACATTGTTGCGATCAAGTGCGGGGAGATAGATACTACGTCTTTCCCTTAGTATCTGCTCATAAAACTGGCGGTCAGCTATGGCAGAAAACCACTCCATAATAATTGTTGCGATCAAGATGAAAGCTCGCGAGAACCAAAACATCCATAATTACATTCAGACCATTATGCATTTGTGGCTAATAGCTTGCTCATAAATCAAAATTATGTCAGGCAGGCGTCTCTTAGATGCGATACAGCTTCTCAATGTCGCGAAATCTGTTGCGGCGAAGCACCTCGGAGTGCGCCAGCACCAGCTAGATATCTACACCAAGACTTCCTCTCTCACAAAAGGGGTGAAGAACCAGGCTGAAGGTCTTATTCTTACGGCAAAAGCTGCAGCTGCATTAGCAAAACGGTTCGATGAGACGAATTCACCGAGCCCCACTGTTCAAACATTCAATAACACTACTGCCTCCCCGTTGTCGACGTCGAGCGCTAAGCAAACGCCCCCGGATGAAGCAGCAAATGTCCGGTCGGAGACGAATTTCAAAATCCCTGAAATTACAACAGAATATACTGGAGGAGATGAACCCGCGGGGCTGAAAGTCAGTCCCCAGCAAGATGTGTATTACAACCGGCCTCAGCAGTTGAATACTTCGGTGTCATCGCTACCGAAGGTTCTGATACCAAAGGCCGTGAGCGAATCTCAAGAGCATTCCGACAAGGACATAAATGCAGATGTGTTCTCCTCTCCCGTGGATTCCGGGAAGAAAGCATCCCCGGAGGAGCAAGAACTTTCAGAAGAAGCAATCGGTCAGATCTTTCACAGCCCCAGAGTTGCAAGAATCATGACAAAACGAGCATCACCGGAGACCACTGTGAGCAGCGTGACAGATTCAAAGATTACGAGTCGCTTCATCGGCCAAGATGAGACACTAACACCAGGTGGTGAGAATTTGGGAGCCACAGTGAAAGAGATGGAAGACCTCGGAAGTACGATCTTGAATGATCAAGAAGCCCTGAAGACAGAAGTATGCATTGATGCTGATGCGGATGAGTAATTTGACTCGGACTAACGGAAATATCATGCAGGAAGCTGTCGAGAGCCTAGGAAGTTTAGAAAGGGAGGCAAGCTATCAAATGACGGAGTCCCGTGTCCCTTCATCGCGTCTCGGCAGACTATGGCAGTACGGTGGACTTGCAACCTCAATGGCTTTCGGAGCAGTTGGAGAGAGCTTTCGACGGGTCACTGGAAGCAATGATAGCGGGTCTATCATGTTCAGTGCCGGTAATATGGAACGTCTTGTCGCCAAATTATCAAAGATGCGGGGCGCGGCTCTTAAGTTAGGCCAGATGTTGAGCATTCAAGGTCATTGCTGCACTTCCCCTCCCATCGTAGGACTAAGCTGATTATTCTAGACTCCAAGATGCTTCCTGAACCAATCCAGGTGGTCCTTCAACGCGTTCAGGATCGTGCAGATTACATGCCAGCATCTCAGCGGGATAAAGTGTTATCCGACAACTTGGGCTCGAATTGGCGAGATTTGTTTATCTCCTTCGATGAAATGCCGATTGCCGCTGCCTCTATCGGGCAGGTACATAAAGCCGTCCTCAAGAAGACAGGTCAACCTGTGGCTGTGAAAATACAATATCCTGGCGTTTCGGATTCTATTGACTCGGACCTAAACAACCTATCTATCCTACTCACGGCTTCTCGTCTTCTACCACGTGGTCTATACCTTGACAAGACCATTGCAAATGCTCGGACAGAACTTGCATGGGAGTGTGATTACGTGCGGGAAGCCGAGTCTGGCGACCGGTTCAGGGAGCTTCTCAAAGACGATCCAGCCTTTGTTGTCCCCCAGGTCATACCAGAGGCTTCAGGCAAACAGGTCTTGACCATGGAACTGCTAGAGGGCGTCGCTGTGACTAAGATAAAGAACATTACGCAAGAGCAGCGGGACTGGATCGGCACGCAAATTATGCGTCTGTGTCTGCGTGAGATCACCGAGTTCAAGTACATGCAGACGGACCCAAATTGGACGAATTTCCTTTATAATGCGCAGACTCACCAGCTGGAACTGCTCGACTTCGGTGCCTCACGCGAATACCCGCGCGAATTCATCGCGAAGTACATCCGTACGCTGGTCGCTGCGTCGCACAACGACCGCCAGACATGCCACGCCCTCTCTATCGACCTCGGCTACCTGACAGGCTATGAATCGCAGCAGATGGTCGACGCGCACGTTACCTCGATCCTCACCCTCGCGGAGCCCTTCATGGAGTCCTCTCCGGACATCTACGATTTTAGCAACCAAACCATCACCGATCGCGTCCGCGACTTGATCCCCGTCATGATCCGCGAACGCCTCGCTCCACCACCGGAGGAAACCTACAGCCTGCACCGCAAGCTTAGTGGTGCGTTCTTATTGTGCGCACGACTTGGTAGTCGTGTGCGCTGCAAGGATTTATTCTCCGCAGCGGTAAAAAAGGCAGATCAGTCTGGTCTGTCGAGCGACTAACAGAAGAAAAAACCACTTCCATCCTTCAAATTCTTTGAGGTTTGTACGATACATGCTGACTAATTCCCCTTTCTACCATTAACTAGTTATAGAGCACCTAGAACACTTCTATGTACTATCACTTGAATAAATAGATATCCATGAAATCTGTATTTTATAATCAGTTGGTAATAGGAGACAGCCTTTCACACAGAATGAACATGGTAATCATCAATCAATTTCAGTAGCCATGATCAATTATCCATTGACAGAGAAACCTGTTAGGTCATGTCATACTGCTAATCTCTACTAGTCTGCCTTCGAGAAATCTGCTCATAGACTAATCCATAGACCGCAGGACTAATCCAGCACCCAGTAGTCCAGCTACGAGGAGCGGTTGTCATTGGATTCCCGGGGTGCCTGGGATAAATACAGGCAAGATCGGAAATAGTCCAGTGAACGGTGAAAATCATGAACTCGGATCCAATGGGTAGCTCAGAGTCTGGGGATAGAAAACTCAGACCCTTGAGATAACATATTCTGTCTTTGCACACTCCCCGAATGCAGAACCGGCAAACCGTATCATAGGCGTCAATTCTCACTCCGCAGCAAACATAGCGTTCCAGTACTTCTTCACATCATCGCAGATCCCCAATTGGCCCTTCCAGCTCTGAAATTTATCCTCCAGCTCGCAGCCGGTCCACATTATTTCTTCCCAGAAGTGCTTCTCTACATCGCTGCCAAATGCATTGATCACCTCATCTGGGATAGTCCATGCGCGCGTGTAGCTGCCGTCATCGTTGAACGCAGGGTTCACACTTTGTTTGGTGAAGACGGTGGCTGGGTTAAATTTGGGAAAGTTGGCATGGACGAAGAATGCCCTGGGAGACGGGGCTGACGAGCCGCGGATCCGCCATTCACCTTTCTGCGTAAGAGTGTAGTCATCCGCGGGGTCAAATTGGACCATTGCTGAACCTGCTAGCCCTCCTTTGGTACCGTGGCCTATGGCACAAATTGGCTCACTGACTTGGTAGAAAGGCTCCCCTACGGCCGTGGCAGCTGTAGTGAAGGTCTCCTTGTCTCCTTCTCCTGCTGCGCCCTGAGAAAATAGCGGGTAGTAATGGGTCGGCCCCCAGAAATTATAGTATGTGCAAAGGAGAAGTGTTCTGAGATGGGTCTTCTTAGAAATCATGACCTCACCAGATTCGGTAGACTGCCGAAGCTCCATGGGAGGCACCTCTTGAGAAGAGATCTCGTAGTAGATAGGTGACGTGGAAGAGGCCCAGAAGTCAGGCCAGGTAACCATCTTCTTGGATCGGAAAGGCTCGGTGACGAAGAGCTGTTCGGGTTTTGCAATGGGGAATGCATCGGCATCGAGAAACAAAATCTCTTCGAATGACGAGAATATCATTGCAAACGGTTTGAACTGATATTTCTTGATCTCTTTGGTGTTCGGCACCGAATCAAGAATTTCAGAAAGCACGAGACACTTTGCATTCAGCGAGGGCAAGACCTCATCGCATATGTATTCCTCATATTCATCTCGGTTTGCCAGAAAAACCTCCATAGGAAGAGTAGATCCTGTCCGTCGCAACATTCGCAAGGAGATCACCAACACGGGCAGGTATGCGCCGCCAGCTGTGGATACCAAACCCCTAGTACCAGGAATATAATGAAGCTTGGGTGGGTTGCTCGCGATAGAACTGACGAACCCACTATGGGCATTCTTCATTTGGGTCACATCGTCCATAGACATCTCCAAAACCTCTGGTCGGAGCTCTGGGTCGGTGACTTTGTAGCCAACAGTGCGGGCATTGGTGAGTCGTTTAGGCGATGGACAGTTAGGCCCGTACCTCATTAGAAGTGGCTCAAACTGGCGCCAGAAGCCGGTATGACTTGTCAAGTCTTGGGAACCTTTTATACCGTCGCTGATAGGAGGTGACTGCTCCAAGTAGAAGTCACGCGAGCCTTGCGAAATCCACCAAAAAAGAGCTATCAGGGAAAGCGCGGTCACAATGGCTCGCAGACGCAGAAAAGACCGTGGGAAGCCCATGCCTTCATCCGTTTTGTGGAAAGCGAGTTCCACGACGAATCTCTTGGAGGTCAATAAAGGGATCTGGTGCCTTTGGAAGGACGCGCCGCCACGCGACTTCACCGAGTCGTCACAGGTATTTTGAGAGCACCTATTCAATAAAAACAAGGGTTAAGGTTGATTCTCTTGCTCTGAGAAGGCGAGAGCCACCAGGACTAGCCTGGGTGGTGGTATTTAGGAACGAGTGGTACCTCCAGGGCCGGATGTAGTAAGGACACCGATAATCACCCATAGGATGGTATGGGCCGCAAACAACGAAGCGAGGGTGAGTAACAAAGAACACTTGGCTTCGGGGCCATTTTGACAGAGCAAGCTGTCATGGGAACAAGAAGGTGGGACAAATTAGGTAGAGTGTTACAAGTCAACCATAGTTAATCCAAGTCAAAACACATGCAGCCAAATACTCTATTCTTAGTCAGAAATTGGTAATGGGCTCGATTAGGAACCATATTCATCCTAGATACAACAGATGATAACCAATTGTTCCTCCTCATCGTCTTCTAAACAGTTTACCATTAGGATGTCATCAGATCTCCCTCTGGGCCCGTCGATTTTTCATGGACTGGATAATATTAGCTGGTCCAAGCTCTCAAAGCTACTGGACTGCTGCGTTTATCAGAAATACCAAGCAATAGTTAATTTGTAGTATTTATCTTTTTCATATGAAATTCGAACTCTAATATGGAATGGAATATAATTTCTGTAGCTTTAACCGAAGCAGACTTCATGGAATTAGGTTGATATAGGAGTGTTCATTCGACTAGTTGTTCAACGCAAGGCTATGTGAGACGACGGCCATTAGGTCCACCACTAGTCACCAGATACCTCACTATATTCATCCTCTTCGAGAATAGTGCTCGCCAAAAGACCCTTGTTCTTACTATAGCTTCTCGGGTCTGTCTGATGACTCCATTCTTTCAGGTAATCATCAGCGGTAGGCAAAGAGCCGGTCATTGTTCGCGCTGAAGGCGGCCATATATCTCCCGATTGATGAGTAGCATAATTTTTGCTCGATGCCTTGATTTTGCGTGACCGAGAAGCCCTTTTACGAGGAAGAAGGCTGTGGTCGCCAGGCGAAATGTTTAGGACCTTCACCACCGAAACATTCAGGTAATGTAACACCAGGCCGGCAACGATGCCGGTAAGCAATGCCACAGTAACAAATGTCAAAATAGCCTGTTCCGTGGTCTTGTAAGTTCATTCTCAGTGAGTTCTGCTTGTTATGTATGACCTTACCTCAAACTTGACGAGGAATGCCAGGGGTAGCAGCGCAAGATGGAGGACACCTCGGCCAAATCTCACGAACGGCACCGTACACAGTCTCAAGAACCAAAATGCATACTTTACCAGCAGAACAATTGAGCTCAAGACAAGAGACAACGCCACACGGGCAGTCTCAACCCAGTTCATGGTGGCATGGCATACGTGAGCAAGGGTGGATGGAGTCTCCGCGTTGATTGAGGTTGACCGCCCTGCACGCTTGCCCTAAGCCCTAAGTGACCGCTTTTGGTTCCAGACCCCAGGCTAGACGGCAAGGGCATCGTCATCGCATGAAGGCGGCCATTCAGGAACGAAAAAGAAGGCGATCTGAGAACTATCCACTAATAACGGCTCAGGCGATTTGCCTTCATCAGTGATACTCTTTTGAATCTCGAGGGGCTAGTGTTCGGATGCTGGCTTCCTGACTCTGAGTTGGCTCCTACACTCCGCGCCATATCTCTTGCCCGGTGCTTCCCCGCCTCCAGATGGGCAACAACCCTTCTAAGAGCCCCTCCGGAGATCCTTCTTCGACATCGGGCCATTCAAACCTCGCTGTGCCCCCCGGGGATAAAACAGTCCGTCGACGACCTTCGATCAATGCGTTGTCGGGCGCAAAGGCCACCGCCGCCGACCCCTCAGCCTCGAAGGAGAATGCCACTGGAGTCTCGGCGTCGCAACGCCAGGCGTCTGCACACCATCGCCTGCAGTCCAGGAATATAACAGACTTGCCCTCGCGCGGCCCCCGACCAGACCAACGCGATGCCAGACGATCAGAAGCCCGTCCGCTGGACGTTCCTCCGCCCAACCGCAACGCAGATGCCTCTGTGGCTCCATCGGGGCCGCCATTGAATACATACTATGGAGCTTCTGCACACCTTCAGCGTCCCCCACGCATGCCTCTACCCATCGGTGATGCGAATGCCACCCCTGGATCCCCGATCATCGGCCCTGCCGATACGCAGATGGAGTCAATTCCTACCAACAGGCTTCTAGACGAACGAGCGAACCCGGAAGCAACCAATTTCACAAGTGCTACTGTCGATGAAGAAGATCTTGTCGATGAGCTGCAGCCCTATGCAATTAGTGGCGTTGGCCGCGCCGTGCCCACTACCATCGACTGGACTGGTCCGGGGAACAAAGTCTACGTGACGGGAACATTTGTGAATTGGGAGAAGAAGTTCCGCTTACATCGAAAGTATGCGAACCCATATATTGGTGCAAAAGCTATATGCTGATATTTTTTAGGGAAAATGAGGGCGGCCCCATGTCGATAACTCTCAATCTTCGTCCCGGAACGCATCATCTGAAATTCATTGTGGACGGAGATATGCGGGCCTCGGATAACCTCCCTACAGCTGTCGATTTCACCAATCACTTGGTCAACTATATTGAAGTCAGTGCAGATGATGTCAGTCGGTCACGCAGAGAAAGTGACCGAACAACGAGATCAAGCGTGCCTCCGGGCCTCCATCCCCCCCAGGTTCTCCCCGAGGTTTTGAAAGCCGAGCAAGAGGGAGACCCCGTGGAAGATGGGTCCGACAAAGAAGAGCCTGAAGAGGAGATCCCGATTGGAGATTTCCGCCGGATTATTCCTCAGTTCCTTGTCGACATTGACCAAGACGACGAAACCCCAGCCTATACACAGGCCGTCAACGTCATTTCTGACACGCCGACACCACCTAGCCTTCCTTTGTTCCTTGGCAAATCGATTTTGAACGGCACAACTCCGATGAAGGATGATAGCAGCGTTCTCAATTATCCTAACCACACCGTGCTAAACCATCTGGCCACCAGCAGCATTAAAAACGGTGTCCTCGCCACGAGTGTAACAACACGATACAAACGAAAAGTAAGTGGACCCGTCTCGATTATCTTTGATAATGATTTCTCTTCCATGGCTCAAGGCATCTAACAATCTGTTTGGCAGTACGTAACCACTATTCTGTACAAACCTACGGGCGAAATCCAGGATTAGTATATGCATGAATATGACACGGCATTGCACGCTTTACTCTTACTGAAAGTTACTTTATTTTTATTTTGCTTCCTTCAGCTTTTCCATTGGTTAGGTAAGGAGGGGAAGAGCCGACGGTCGAAGTGTTGGCGAATGTTGCATTCTTTCTCGCTATCACTGTTCGAAGCAATCTACCCAGAACATATTGGCTCTGGTGGAAGAGTACAAATCAACCTTTGATACATGATGACTACACAACTCTCCCGATGTCTTATAACTAGTTAGCAGATGGGCCTAGCTAGCCCAACCCTGAAACACATACTCATTCTACAAATACATACACAGTGTTTGGGCCTGGCAGGCAGTTTATGTGCCCAAGCAAATAGCACATGCAATTGTTTCAGTCTTTGGCTCTGGCTCCCTCTCGTTTGTTCCACTCTGTCTATATTTAAGCAATAGCCATTATTCTGCAGCTTATCAGGATTCGTCGAGTTGTACATTCTCTAGAGCAAGACATGATCTACTTCAGGTGGTGAGAACTCATGGATATCATAGATTCTTTTTCCCCATCTTTTCGCCAGCTATATATGGAATAGAACAGCGACTAGTCTCTCCATCCGACAAAGACATCGTCCGTACGGAATCGCTGTGTACAGGTCGATTCACTCAGTGGCGTCCGGAATCCCGCCTTATAAGCCAGGAGGCCAGCCTGTGCGATCATGATACCGTTATCGATGCAGTAACGTTCGTCAGTAGCGAAAACACTGCCCCCGCGATCGCGAGCCATGATGCCCATCATTTCCTGGAGCCGCTCGTTGCACCCAACACCGCCGACGATCAGCACTTGTTTTGAGCCAACATGAGCCATGGCCCGCTCGGTGATCTCCACCAGCATCGAGTAGACGGTCTCCTGGAGGGAAAAGCACAGGTCGGCGCGTGTTGGGTTGGGATTCCCTTCAGCATCCAGCGTGGGGACATCGTCGCCTTCCCCTTCCTTCGCTTCCCGGTCTAGACCGTAACTTACCGCTAGAGAATCGATTGCGGCCAAGATCCCGGACATGGAGATGTCCATTCCCTTGACAGTGTAAGGTAGATCGACGAGCCGCTTCCCTTTCTTCGCGAGCTGTTCGATGTTGTACCCTGGCGCCGGATCGTTGGAGATCCGTAATGTGCGGGCGAACCGATCAAGACAGTTCCCCACTGCCATATCCAACGTTTCCCCAAATATCCGGTACCGTTGTGAACTGTAAGCGATAACCTGTGTGTTTCCTCCCGACACGTATAGAACAACAGGGTTCAAGGCGCCGGTGACCGCCCTGCCCATCTCAATGTCTACAGAACTTCATTAGAATCAAATTTCCCTACTTCCAACAGACAGATCACATACGGCCGACACAGTGGTTAACACCGACCAGCTCCTTGCTCCATAACAGGCTCAGCATGCGAGCTGTGATCGCGGCGCTTTGCAGGGGGGCACCCATGCCGGGTCCCTTGGTGTAGCAGATACAGTCGACATCCTTAACGGATACCCGCGCTTCCTGCAGGGCTTTCTTGACGAGCTTGACCACCCAGTACCTATGATGCCGAGCCGTGTCCTTCGGCAGGAATCCCTCGCCGGGGGGGGCCACGTACGTGTGACGGACGTTTGCCAGCACCTGCGGGGTGTCGCCGTTATCAGGATGCAGAATGATGCCCACGCCCACTTTGTTGGCGGAGCTCTCGAGGCCGATTGCGATCATGATAGATTAACGGATCTGGTACACAGTTAGACAGAATTCAGCACAGTGAGCCTAACAGCTCTGATAGTCATAGCCCACTCACTCCCCTGCAGTGCTGTGCCTGATGCTGGAGGGGCCAAAATTTGGCTCTTTATCTAAGGTGTTATCGATTGGCTGCTTACCAGAGCCTGCCGTCAGTTTATCCGAACAACGACAGCCGAAACGGGCGGTATACAATTGGCCCGCACCCACGCTTGCTCCTCACACTTCATATTTACTCTGCTTCCCACCTGCCACCGCCCCCCTGTTTGGCTCTCGTTTCTCGGAGAGAGAGGGTCCTTGTGGTGAAGAATCTACTGAGAGACTAATTATATATTCTGTGTCTCTCGTCTTTTTTTCGCCTACAATGATTCCCACAGCCCAATTTGTCGACGGTGACGGCTTCCAGTCACAGTCGGATGCCTTTGTGCAATGGCTTGTACAACGACCTGGCGTCAGACTTAACCCTAAGATTAGGGTGGTTGACCTGCGGTTCAGAGATGCTGGACGAGGAGTCGGTATGTTGTCGAACTTGTACGAGGTTGACTTTTCTTCATGCTTCTTTTTTCCCTCTTCATGGCCCGTCTAACCTTGGACTGTTTCCCTGCCAGTGGCTCAGACCGATATCCTCGAGGGTGAGGAACTCTTCTCGATTCCCCGGGACCTCATCTTAACAATGCAAAATTCGAATCTGAGGAACTTGATCGGTCAAGATCTCGATCAACTCGGCCCCTGGTTCTCGCTGATCGTCGTGATGATCTACGAGTATCTGCTAGGAGAAAAGTCCGCCTGGGCCCCGTACTTCCAGGTCCTCCCCACCACATTCGACACCCCCATGTTCTGGTCGGACTCGGAACTCATCGAGCTTCAGGGGAGTGCAGTCGTTGGAAAGATTGGGAAACAAGGTGCAGAAGAATCTATTCTGGAAATGGTCGCTCCGGTCGTCCGAGGAAATCCTACACTATTCCCACCTCCTGCCTCTCTCGGTTCTTTTGATGGTCCCGCTGGCACTGCAGCACTTCTTCATATCGCTCATGTCATGGGTTCCCTCATCATGGCCTACGCATTTGACATTGAAAAACCAGAAGATGAAGAGGGAGACGAAGGAGATGGGGAAGATGGGTATATGACCGACGAAGAGGAGGAACAGCTTCCCAAAGGCATGGTTCCATTGGCGGACCTCTTGAACGCAAATGCCGATCAGAACAATGTAAGAGATCTCTGTCTGCAGCGCGCAAACAATTGTGGTTGAACATCTGCCAACTGAATTGAATTTTCAGGCTCGACTCTTTCAGGAGGACGATTTCTTGGTCATGAAAGCCATCAAGTTGATCAGAGCAGGTGATGAGATTTTCAATGACTACGGAGAAATCCCTCGATCGGATCTCCTACGAAGATATGGGTATGTCACGGACAACTATTCCCCGTTCGACGTGGTCGAGATATCATTAGACGCCATTTGCGAAGCAGCGGGCCTCCAAAACGCCGACACTGTTTCTCAATCTGCTGTAAGCTCCCCCATCACGGAAAAAAAAGTCGGTGATTGACAACTACAAGCTTCAATTCCTCGAGGACCTTGAACTTCTTGATGACGGTTATGCTATTGCACGGCCCTCATCTGGTGACTCGTTAGAAGACATTATTCCGGCTGAACTTGTGATTCTCCTGAAAACGTTATCTCTATCACCGGAACAATTGCAACAACAGCGTTCTAAGAACAAGCCGCCTAAACCCAGCTTTGGCCCACAGGAAGTAGCCATTTTGCAGAAGGCAATCTTAATCCAGCAGACCAAGTACAGCACAAGCCTGTTCCAAGACCAAGAACTTCTGGCGCAACTGAACCAACTCAGCGCGTCTGCTCCTCTCGACATACCTACCAGGCGACGCCGCATGGCAATTCAAGTCCGCATCGGCGAGAAAGAAATACTGCAAGAACTCTCTGCCCGACTTCACTTGACGAACCGAGACTCTTCGTTGAAACGAAGCGCCGATGGAGATCATCACGACTCGCGGCATACCAAAACTCAGAGAACATGACACCGTATCAATTGCGTGAATTGTATTGCAATTTTAGCCATTCAGATTTCCTCCAATTGTTGCGTTCTACTCAACTGCTACAGGATATAGGAAGAAAAAAGTTCATTTCTTATTATTATTATTTCTTTTTCTTTTTTCCTTCTGTCATTGCGCTGCTAACTTCATAGCTTCACTAATTATCCATACATGAGTCTATCGACTGTGGGAGGGCGAGGGAATTTTATGTACAAAGAGGGGTTCGTGAGGATTTCGGGATCATGTCATAAGAGGTTGGGGAAGAAACTCAAAAGAAAATGAAAAAAAGGATGCCGCCGCAACGATTTTCTAGCCTTCGAATCATCCACCGATCTTGGGGAGGGGAAGAAAATTTTCAAGAGATCTGCGAGGGTTGAGCGCGATTCAGGAGAACAAGGGATCAAGTCGACTCGGTGAAGAGACAAACCAACTCGCGAGAAAGAAGAGGGGAATAATAAAACTACAATATTAGTCGGGACGGACAAGAACGGTGGAAAACGACAAACGCCCGCCAAATGCAAGTGATGAGAGAGGAGTGGGAAAAAGGAAGACGAGCTTAAGTCTCCACGGCCGGAGCGATGGCGCCAGGGCCTGGGTTCGAGCCCATTGATTGTGTCCCGTTCGACGGTATGTTGTTGGTGGAAACTTGATCGGCCTGAAGACGTCGTTGTGCCTGGGCCTGTGCTTGAGCCTGAGCCGCCTGCGCCTGCGCATGTGCTTGAGCTGCAGCTGCGGCTTGGTCACGAGCCTTGGCTGCCATGATCGCCCGATGTTGCATGACCTGGATATCATACTTGTCCCGCTCATAGCAGGGCTCGTCGTCTGAATCTTCCTGGTCATACTTGAACCGGTCGGCCTTGTATGAATCCATGTCCACTCTACATCGCGCGGCCAGGTTTCGACGATCGATCATCATTCGACCGCCTCGTCCGATCCGTCGTCGGAATGATGGTATCCGTCTGGTATCCTCATCTATATCCATAACGCTCATGGCATGTGAGGCTAATTTATCGTGGATATAGGAGGGAGAGGATATATCTAAGGCCGATTCCAACATCATATTCTCGGATGAATCCGAGGATGGTGGTGTCGGTAACTGGGTAATAATAGCTGGCCGGAAGGCAGGCTCGAATTTCCTCTCCGGGGGTGGTGAAAGTGGAGCGCGTGTCAAGTCCACATACTCCTCGTTCCACTTAAGATGTTTGGCAATATTCTGCTTGATATCGCGCAGAATCTCGTTCTCCTTCTCCATTTGCACATCCTCGAGCAATTGCAAATCTTCCGCGCCTTGAACACCAGGCTTTTGCGGAAGACGCAACTGAGGTGCGGTTGGTCGCTGTACGACTGGTACTTCGACGGGTTTCTTCTTCGGCTATTCGCTTGATTAGTGCACTGGTCCATAAAGGCAATGAAGCACGCGATTTATTTCTTACCTTCTGGTTGATAAGGTCCTCATCGTCGTCCTTGATTCCGAGTTTCCTTTTCATGTCCTTCACCTCAGAACGCTGCAGGAATACCTGTCGTTCAACCGACAGCATCTCCTTGCGCGCCAACTCACGCTGTCGCACAAAGGCAACCAGCTGCCGCGCATCTTCAAGCTCCTTCCGGAGTCTCCGCAGCTTCTCGACACTCTGCGCATCTCTACCGCGGGTCTTGCGAATCTGACGAACCTCGCGTCTACGGAAACAGACATAAGGATCGGTATCATCCGTGTCCTGGCCAGTTTCGAACTGCCGATAGGTCAGCAAAAGAGAATCTCCCGGTTGACATGATGAGTTTCTGTCTTACCTTGAGGGATGGCAGAAGCAAGTGGTTGCCCTCTCGGATTCTGATTGTTTTCCAGTGCTCATAGATGTCCTTGGCAAATCGCTTTACGCTATCATCTACCAAATCATCCATAGCTTCCTGCATTTCCGAGAGAGAAAGGACCGGCGGATTGTCTACAGCAGCATATGGTTGTTTTAGCTGTGCTGTTTCCTCGAAAAAGTGCATAACTTCCTCGAACTGATCGTCGGTACACCGGTCAGATGCATCACGCTTCTGGTTCATGATCTTCAGGAACACATCGTCCTCATCCGTCATATTATAGGGACATCCACAACAGTCCTCCACAGTGGAGGAGAAGCGAATATACGTCGCCGGCTGGGAGAAGATGGGTGGGTAGAGCTCGTCATATCGAAGGTCACTGAGTATGGTCTCCGGGGTCGGGATATGGGCTTCGGCTATTTTTCCCCGCGCAGAGGCGTTTATTGCAACTTGTAGATGAAATTCCTATAGCGATTCCGGGTCAGTAAGCCTGTTTTGGTGGCCGTTGCCATGGCCGTCCGATTTTTCACATGGGGTGAGGTTGTGATAGTATCACGTGACGCGTGCAGGGATAGGCTAAAATTAGAAGGGGCAGACAACTCACCGACTCCTCCGCCTTCTCGACGCCGGTTTCCACCTGTTGTAGAGTGCTCTGGTCCTCATCGTCGATGAAATCGACCTCGTGTTCCCGGACTACGGGGATCGAGGCCTTTGAGGTGAGCTTTTTTGGGCGCGTCCTCCCCATTCCCCCGTACCTAGTCATACGAACTTCCGGACGCGAAAAAGGGCGACTACCATGGGCGAGGGGTCCCGAAAATAGTATGACGCGAAAGGCCTGCTCATGCGATTTCTCGTAGTCGTATTTTCTAGGCGCTGGCGGATGGGTGGAGTGGGATATCGACGGCGGAAATCTCGTGGCCACACAGCGGTTTGTTGAGTTGACGTTGCAATGTCACCCAGTCGTGGCCTGTTTTGGACCAGCGCACGGCCTCAGGGGTTCGCTTGCCTGTCTTATTCGGGTTAGTGCGGGGCCGCTTGATATCAGATTCATGCCCGGGCTCTGGTTCTTGGCATGTCTTTTGCCTCTCTGGGCTCTCTCCCTGCCCAGACAACCCGCCCTGTTTGTCCGCCGCAGCAACGGAATTCGCGCACGCGCCCGGTCCATCCCTTAGCTCCCAATACGGAAGACCCTCTGTCCCCAAACGGCTAAAGGACTCGTGGAGGTCAATTCAAGCACTGCAAATTAAATTCCCTTGCTTACTCTCACCTTTCACACCGCCTCCAGTTGGCCCTCCTCTACTTCTCGTACCTGCCATCAGTTTGCGGTCATCACCTACCTCACCCCACCCCCACCATGGATCATTCCAGTGAGCCCAACAGCGCTGCGATCTACAATGCCCACAGGCGGCGCGGGTCTGTGGGAACATCACAGGTGTTTGATAACATTGTTTCTGCTTCGAACTGTATGTTCTCTCCGTGTTGTTTACATCCTGTTGGGCTCTAAGACTAACAGAAACCTGTCAGTCGATCGCGATGAGGTGGATCGTCTGCGCAAGAGGTTCATGAAGCTGGATAAGGTTCGAGTCCCAGCCGTTCGAGCTCTGTATTTTCTATGTGGAGAAACTAACGTCAAGCCAGGATGCCTCTGGAACCATCGATCGCGATGAATTTCTTTCGCTCCCCCAAGTGTCGTCGAACCCTCTCGCCACACGGTATGGTCCATTCCTGTCGCGTTCATATATATCTATCTATCTCTTTGATGACATGTTACTTACATGCTTGTCGTTGCCCATTACAGTATGATTGCCATTTTCGACGAGGACGGCGGTGGCGACGTCGATTTCCAGGAATTTGTGGCGGGTCTGTCGGCTTTCAGCTCCAAGGGAAACAAGGAAGAGAAGCTCCGCTTCGCTTTCAAGGTGTACGACATCGATCGGGACGGGTACATCTCCAACGGCGAGCTCTTTATCGTTCTGAAGATGATGGTCGGCAACAACCTCAAGGACGTGCAGCTGCAGCAGATCGTGGACAAGACCATCATGGAAGCGGACAAGGATAAGGATGGAAAGATCAGCTTCGAGGAGTTCACGGATATGGTGGAAAACACGGATGTCAGCCTGAGCATGACATTAAGTATGTACCTTTGCCCCAGTTGCACGCTTCGGGCTTTACTAACATTTAATAGGTCAAATCTAAGATGACTCTCTATCAATTCTTCGTATCCTTTCTAGGGAAGCTGGCTTCCACGCTTCATCATATGACATTATGAAACAATGCACAGCTATATAGTTTACCGTGGCAAGTTGCTACTGCTTGGCCTGTTACGTTGATGAGACATGAACTTGTTGTACATCTAAATTGTGTCTCGACTGAGTGCATCATGCATCCAATCATGCATATTTATATTCTCCGATGAGACCTGGCTTGTAAGGTATAACTGGTGAGCGTTTACAGGGCGACACAGGATTTTCTGATTCTTTTTTCTGATAGCAAGCCTGTGCGAGGTTGTTCTAATGTTTAGGACATGCTAGTTTAGGCGGTGCATTTCAAACAGGCAACATCTGGTTACCAGTTGACTTGATTTCACTTGCATGCCCTCCCTAACCCCAAGGTTAAAGACAACCAGTTGCCTCCGATTATTACCTCGCTACCAGTATATACTACACAGTTAGTCCCTATCTTGGTATGTCTACAGGGTGCCAATCTCATTTCCTACGAAACAGTGCATTTGGTGCAATATATACACGCTCTTGGGCCTACTACATTGTTCTAGAGATAGAGGGAGCAATGGACAATAGCTCAGATGTGAGTATAATTATCATCGACGCCGGGAGATATCCCACTTATACTGTTGCCATTCAATTGCAGAATTCTTCAGTATCGGTTACTCGTATGAGAATCCCATGCTGACTGTTAAAAAGTGAAGATGCATAAAAAGTGTCATTGCCAGGAATATCCACGCAAGGATGATTTTATTTGAGATCCCATTAAACAGGGTAGTCAAGGTTAATATTTAATGCATTTGTATTCTATAAACACATTGAAGGATATATTGCAACACAGTAGTATTATAAATAAATATAGTATCATAATGAAATAGTATTAGGTACCACCTTGAGAAATTATAACTAGAGCAAGTTAACAATAATGGAAGGACTACTACTTATATTCAATTAGGAATGTGGGACCTCGCAATTCAACCCCCGATGGTCTAGTTGGATATGGCGTTCGGCTGTAATGTAACATATAACCGAAAGGTCGCCGGCTCGATTCCGGCTCGGGGGACTTGCATTTTTTTTTCTATGACTTTTCGTTTTTATCTTTCTTATTTTCAATCGTTACTCAATCAATCATGTTCTTAGATTCAATTAAGGATACCGGGACCCACATTCAACCCCCCGATGGTCTAGTTGGATATGGCGTTCGGCTGTAATGTAAACATATAACCGAAAGGTCGCCGGCTCGATTCCGGCTCGGGGGATTTGTCTTCTTTTTTGTCTTCTTTTTTGTCTTCTTTTTTGTCTTCTTATATATATCTATCTATCTACTCTCCTCTCATGCTCAAATAGAGGATGGATTAATGATCGCTTGCCACCTAGCGCAGAGAAATGTTGGTGCAAGTTAGGAGAACTAATGAAATGTGATATTTTATGCTACCTAGAGTATTACTATACATATACTATACACACACATACACGCCTGCAATGCCGATACATATCATCCCATAATAAAACATCAGAATAAGCCATCTTAACATTGAAGCAGTTGGTCCCATCGAAACTGACCCAACTGGTGGAGATTGGGCACAAACGGGATAGAAGACTCTTAGGGTCTTCGCAGCCGTACTGTTTCGTACTACTTCGTAGGAGTCGAGGATCGTCGGTGCTCAAGCTTCTTTTGATGCTGTCAGATTTAGCCCCAAAGATCACCACCACCCTAGTGGTTATTAGCACTCACCAGCGTCACATGTAGATGGGACATCAACGAGAGCCTATCGGCCGAAGCCCTACGCCTCACTCCGAGAAGATCCCGTAATCGTCGACTTCCTGCCCAGAAGAAGAGTGGAGTATTTTTTTTTTCTTTTTTCTTTCTCCTTCTTCTCCTTTCTCCTATCACGACCTCGAGGCTGCGGTGGTGGTCACTGTTCCCTGCACCGCTTGAGGACGCAGTAGGTCAGGTCTGGTCTCCATCAAATCTAGACATTGCTCGAGCACTGCCGATCAACTGTCAGAGCGAACATAATTTGGTAAAAAATGGTCGGTCTCACCACAAAGGATCTCCTCTTCCCAGACACCCATTTGATAGTCGACGAGCCCGTGCTGCTCGAGTTGGTCACAAAGGCGGATCAGGTCCTTGCCCATGTTCTCCAGGCTGACACTATCCAAAAGACCAGCTGCGGACGGGGCGCAGCCTGTTTCAAACAGACTCTGAGTCATTTCCTTCTGCCTTTGCCCGAGGGCTAGCCAACAGATGTTGAAATCATTCCAGAGTCGCAGACGATCGGAGTGGAGCAGTTGATCGTCACGCAAGATCCCTACAGATCCGCCGTATTAGCTGAGACGCCTTGACCCTAACTAAAACGAAAAACCAGAAGCGAAAATTAAATAGGGCATACCAAGCTCCTGCGCATTCGTGACCAACCATTCGGAGATTTCCAGCAGCGACCGGCTAGCCTCGATGAGCCTGCCGGCACGCGTGTCATCCAATGTGCTCTGCAGGGCGCGCTGGAACCGTGCGAACACCTCGTCCAGATTCGCGGGCTCTGGCACCTGCTGCTGCTGCTGTTGGTGCTGCGGCTGTCCGGTCGAACTCACCGAAGTGAAATCTGCCATGGGGACGGGGAACGGCTGCGTTGCAGGCGAGGCCCGGCCGATGGAGATGGAATTGCGTTGCCGTTGTTGCTGCTGCTGCTGCTGCTGCTGTTGTTGAGACTGATGATAAGGGGTAGTAGTAGAGGCTGGCAGGTATGGCGGCACGACTCCCGCCGCCGCCGCAACCCCCGTCGTCGGCGAGAAATACTGTGGAACGGCAAATTGACTTGACATGACATCAATCGCTGCAGACTGCCGTTCCTGATACGGTGGCAGCAGGCCGTATGGCCCCTGTTGCTGGGCGTGACCTTGCTGATGATGGTGTTGGTGGTGGTCTAGCTGATACACGGCCTGAGGGTCATAGGTGAAGTGATGCTGGCGCTGGCGCTGGCGCTGCGGCGTCTGCGCGGGTGAGAAGGGCTGGAAACCGTCCGGCTGCAAGGAACCGGCTTGGAACGAAGGGTCGGCGAAGGATGCCTGGTCTGTGTATCCATAGCCGGCGAAGGAGGAGGCGACTCGGGGATTTCTCCGCGAGGCACCGTGGTTCCCACCACGTGTGGATTGGGCTCTCAACCGATCTGTGGCACCGGATGTTGAAGCAGCAGCAGCAGCAGCAGCAGATGACGATACTGGAGGGCCATGACGATCGTACTGGTGCTTCCTGCGTCGGTGATTATCGCCATCCATGCCACACCAGGGATCAATGGTGAAGGCCCAGTTGGACGGCGAGAGGGGTGGACTCGCGTAGGATTCCAGCTTGGTGGTATGCAGAGATTATAATATTAAATTGAATGGCTTGAAACGACGATGGCAATATACCCTGTAGACAGTAATGCAGTCCCATGCAATGTTTAGGTCAGAACAAGAATCGAGAAAAAATTAAAGTCAGTCGCGCTGTCTTCTGTCTGGCGATCCTTGGATGATCCCGGTTGGAAGAGACTGCAGCTGGACTCGCAAGGACGAACCGCTGCATGGTTTCTTCTGCAAGGTAGGGCAGGAGGTAGGAATTAGCATTTATAAGATCACGGGCGAGCCCGATGGAGGGGAAACCTCAATCTTAGCCCTGTCGTGCTAAGGGAAGCGCCAATGATCGACCCTGAGGGGGTCAGAGGGGAGGGAAAACAAGCAGAGATGTCTTGGAGAGGGGGGGCAAGAGGGAGGGGGGGCGGCGAGAGAGAGAG